TAACGGTGAGTTTTTTGCCCATAGGAACACATTAAATGTGTTTTAATGCGTTCCTATGGGCTTTTTTGCCCCGCATAGCAACGAATCCGGATAGCGATGATTTTTTTGGAACAGATTATTGTCGCTATGCGGGACACCACTGTATTTACTTATATGTTCAATTCTTCCCTTAAATTCTTATTTCCATTCCTTCTTATCTGCTTCTGAGTGATTTAATAAAATACAATCAGATTTCTCTCAGTTTACTTTCAAACCAGTTATTTCTTCAAAGAGATTTAAATGTGTTCTAATTTTCTGCAATGTGTCTTTTGGGGTTTTGATTATTAATAATGTATCATCTGCAAAGAGGTTTATTTTATCCTCCTCTCTAGTATCTACAACTTTAATTAAACTATAATTTCTGATCACTTGTGCCAGCACTTCTATTATCAATGTAAATAAAATTGAAGATAAGGGGCAACTCTGTGTGGTTCCTGGTCTTAAATATATTGATTATGTTCTGCCATCATTTATTATTATTTTTTCAAAGTTCTGTGAATACAGTATATTTGTTGAATTATTTGTCTAAATTAAATACCTAATCCTATTATTTAAACAATATTTTTAATGTGTCCCATTCAACTGAATCTAAAGCTTTGAAAATATCTAGGGATATCACACCTGCTTTATATTTTGATTATTTTTCCAGGTGCATTAAGTTAAGCACCTTCCTCATTGTATCTGACATCTGTCTGCCTTGTATAAATCCATTTTGATCTTTCTCAGTGTAATTCCCTATAAAATTAAAGGTTTAAAGTTTTTAAATTAAATTCTAAAATTAAATTATTTAGTTTTGTTTTATTTCAAACTATACATAAAGTTTACAACTTATTGGCCAAAGGCTTCTTGCCTATTACACAGGTGGAAGGGAAATGCATAAGTTACAGTGATAAATTGCTGTTAACTAAGAAGTTCCTGCTAAGATTTTTCATTCCATACCAGTGGTTAGAATTTTGAAGAGAGATGGGATCAAAAGCTGGTAAAGGCTAGAAGCAGTAGGATGTCTGAAATTCATAAAACCCCCACCTTACTCCTTAAACCAATAAAACCATCAACCAAGAGCATAGAATAGGGTTAGTGTCATGATACTGGCCACTACAGAGAGGGTCTACTGATCACTGAGCCACACTGCCCTTACTTGCCCTGCTGTGGGCATTTGCAAGGAGGGTCCAGTGTGCTAGAGATTGAGAAAAGCTTCCTATGAGACCCTTCTCCCAACACCCTTGAGCCTGCTTGCTCTTTTGGTACTCTAGGAAGAGACAAAATCTTCCCAGGGGTTGCTTTTGATTGCAAACCAACCCTGTAAAGTAGGAATGCCAAAAACCCACAAAGTGCTCAAAACCTCTGAGTGTAAGGTGCTATCTTTAGTATCACCAGCCCCTTGATCTGTCCGAGTGATCACACAACTGTAAAATTTAATTATTTTATTGAAGGTATTTCAAGAAGACATACATGTTCAGAAGTGTTTAACACTTCTAAAAGATTCAAAATGATGTGAAGGAGTTCCATAGTAAAAAGCAAACCAAAACTCAGTTAAGAGTAAGATCCACAAAAACTAATATTAGCTACTTTTATCTTATATTTGCAAAGTAATAAATATATAGCCTGGTTCCAGTATCTACACAGAGTTCAGCAGAGTGACAGGCATAGATTACTTTTTCTGGAAAGATAAAGATAAGCAAGCAAAAATTTTCAAAGTATAATAACTAACTTGAATAATTCATTCTTCTGCTTCCCCTTATAGAGTGGATATAAAAGTTTACACACCCCTGTTAAAATGTCAAGTGTCTGTGATGTAAAAAAATGAAAAATTGAATCATTTCAGAACTTTTCCACCTTTAATGAGACCTATGAACCGTACAACTCAGTTGAATAACAAACTGAAATCTTTTAGGTGAAGAGAAGTAAAAATTAAAAAACTGAAATATAGTGGTACCTCAACTTACAAACGCCGCTACCTACAAATATTTCGACTTATGAGCAGCTCCGCTCACAAAATTTTGATTCGACTTGCAAGCGGAGCTTCGACGTAAGAACGGAAAAAGGCAGGAAATTGAAACCGTTGGTGGCAAAGAGGCTCCTTCTTTGTAGCTCTTTCGCCCCAATGGTTAGAGCAGGGGGTCAGGGAACTTTTTTTACTCCTGCGGCGCAGGAGGAGGAAGGAGAGGCAGGGCTGGCTCCGTATCACCACCGGACATGCCGGTGCACTCCCTGCCCATCCCTGGCACAGGTATACTCATGAGTAATGGCCCCCTCCGCCATGGCCGGCCCCGCCGCTGCTGCCTCGTGTACCCTGGCTGGGGCCCGTCGCTGGCTGCCATCTGCCAGGGAGTGAATGTCATCGGAGAAGGCTTCGGTCTGCCTGGTAAGGTGCTGCTTTTTGCTTTTTAAAAACTTCTGGGTGAGAATTGCAGGGTGGGTTTGGCCTGAGGGAGGTTATGTTTCTGTGCTGTGTTGTTGTTTGTTTTTGGTGATTTTTTTATTTACGTATTTATTTTGCAGTCTCGGCGTGGGAATTGCTCGATGTTTATTTTTGGGTTTTGTCTCATTTTCTTTTTTTGCAGCCTTCGGGGCTTGCTCTGTTTATTTTTGGTTGTTCTTTTTAAAGCCCCAGCGCCTTCTGATGGGGCTTTCTGTGTGCTTTTTTTTTGGTATTTTTTTTTTAAATGCTGGAGTGGATTAATTCCGTTCCCATGCATTTCAGTGGGAAATGGTACTTCGACTTGCGTGCATTTCCACTTACGAACATCTTCTGGGATGGATTAAGTTCATAAGTCGAGGCACGACTGTAATATGGTTGCATCTGTGTGCATATCCTCTTATAACTGGGGATGTCGCTGTGTTCAGCAGTAAACAATCATATTCAAACTCATGTTAAGTAGGAGTCAGTACACTCCTGCCATCATTCAGAGTGCCTCTGAGGAATCCCAAATAAAGATCAGCTGTGCTTCCTGACATTTTCTTAGTCACATCTTACAGCAGAAACCATGGTCCGCAGAGAGCTTCCAAAGCATCAGAGGGATCTCATTGTTAAAAGGCACCAGTCAGGAGAAAGGGCACAAAAGAATTTCCAAGGCATTAGATATACCATGGAACACAGTGAAGACAGTCATCATCAAGTGGAGAAAATATGGCACAACAGTGACATTACCAAGAACTGGACGTCTCTGCAAAATTTATGAAAAGACTAGAAGAAAATTAGTCAGGGAGGCTGCCAAGAGATCTACAGCAACATTAAAGGAGCTGCAGGAATATCTGGCAAGTACTGGTGGTATGTGACAACAATCTCCCGTATTCTTCATATGTCTGGGCTATAGGATAGAATGGCAAGAAGGAAGTCTGTTCTTATGAAGAAAAACGTATTTTGCAAAAACACATCTGAACTCTCCCAAAAGAATGTGGGAAATAGTGTTATGGTTTGATGAAACCAAAGTTGAACTTTTCAGCCCTAATTCCAAAAGATACGTTTGCCGCAAAAACAACACTGCACATCACCAAAAGAACACCATACCTATAGTGAAGCATGGTGGTGGCAGCATCATGCTTTAGGGCTGTTTTTCTTCAGCTGGGATAGGGACCTTAGTCAAGGTAGAAGGAATTATGAGCAGTTCCAAATACCAGTCAATATTGGCACAAAACCTTCAGGCTTCTGCTAGAAAGGTGAACCTGAGGAGGAACTGCATCTTTCAGCATGACAATGACCCAAAACATACATCCAAATCAACAAAGGAATGCCTGCACCAGAAGATTAACATTTTGAAATGGCCCAGCCAGAGCCCAGACCTGAATCCGATTGAATACCTATGAGGTGATCTGAAGAGGGCTGTGCACAGGGGACACCCTTGCAATCTGACAGATTGCCAAATCAAGATGTGTCATACTGACAGACTCATACCCAAAAAGGCTGAGTGCTGTAATAAAATCAAAAGGTTCTTTGACAAAGTATTAGTTTAAGGTTGTGCACACAGATACAACCATATTATTTCAGTTTTTTATTTTTACTTCCCTCCACCTAAAAGATTTCAGTTTATTGTTCAATTGAGTTGTATGGTTCATAGGTCTCATTAAAGGTGGAAGAGTTCTGAAATGATTTATCATTGGTTCTTTTTTTTTTTACATCACAGACACTTGACATTTTAACGGGTGTGTAAAGTTTTTATACCCACTGTATAACGGGAAGCAGAAGAATGAATTATTCGTTAGCTATTTTCTGAAAATTTTTGTTTTCTTATCTTTATCCTTCTGGAAAATGTAATCCATGCCTGTCACTCTGCTGAACTCTGTGTAGATACATTTTAACAGGGGTGTGTAAACTTTTTATAACCACTGTATCCCACCATCCCTTCTCTGAATGTTTATTCCCTTTGCACGAATCAGATTGCATTCTTTTCCAGATCTTCTAATTGGTAACTTCTGCAAGAGTAATTAATCCTATAGGGTAATTTCAGTACCATGAGATATCAAGAAGAAATGGTTCTCCCAACATTATTTTGCCCTTCAAGATTGTAGATAAGGCTTTCCAATCTATGTCCATTTCCTCCAATTGGGAGATGCTTCCCCTCCTTGCATCCAGATAATTTCAGTTACCAAGCTCCTGTCTTCAAAGAATGCGGGGAATGAATTAACCCTCTCCTTGCTAATTCCAGGAAAGCTACCGTAGTTCCTGGACTCATAGGACATGAGCTCATTCACACATTGGTGTTGGTTCTGTCTCCTGGTCATCCCTCAGGTTGTTTCTGTTGCTTCTGCTGTTGATTTGACCTATTTGGAATTGGCCGGCCTCGTATTTGCATCCATAAGTCTTCCTTCCTACCTCCTTTCTTTTTCGTGTGTTGATGTCTAAATAAGGGTGCAGCTAAACGAGTGAGAAACAGTGCGGTCTTACAGGGTTGTAGCCAGTCCTCAGCTGCGGCTACCTTTCAAAAGGCAAAGCGGGGGGCGGGCGGGAGGAGGACGGGTCTCGAAGGTCTCAGGCCAGCCCGCACTCAGCGTCCACAGAGGGCGCCACTCCTGCTCCCGCGCAGACAGCGAGCCTTCCCTCCTCGCTTCGCCTGCACAGGACAAAGGGGGCGGGGAGAGAGAAAACTCCGGCCACGATCCGCTCTACGGACCACGTTCCCGCTTTGTCGTGACCTTGTTTGCCCCTTTCCAAAGCACCCCCCGTAGGACCTTCGTTCTTCTTCTTCTTTCCCGCGGAAAGCGACGCCCCCTCCCTGGCCCTATGAAGAAGCCTTTTAGTCCTCCCCCCCACGCATTTTGCGCCGGATGGCCGGGCTGGGAGCTACTCCGTTCTTTCTTTTCTAGCTCTATGGTCCTGCGCGCCAGAGTCTTCCCGAGCATCTTTCTAAACCTCGCATATCCGGTGAGCAGAAACGGGGGAGCACCTTTGCGGGCTGGGCAGCCGGGAAGGGAGGCGAGCCGCTGGCTACCTGGGCAGAAGGGCGCTCGGCGGTTGGCCAGGAGAAGAAGGGCCTTTTTGCTTTTTGCCTTAGTTTTGTTCCCCTGAAACAGACGAAGGTACCTACTTCCTCCTCAATTCTGTTGGTTAACACGTGGTGCTGTTTCCAGGAACAGGAATTTTTTGGAGTAAGATTTGATAGCCATTAATTTAGGTAGCTTTAAAGCGGGGTTAGAGTCATGGAGGGCGATGATGATGATGATGATGATGATGATGATGATGATGATGATGATGATGATAGAACCACAGGATTGGAAGGAACCACAATGGGGAATTGTACTTCCAACCTCTGGCTCCCCAGCCAGATCCCCAAACCACTCAGCTATCCAACATGATAATAATGACTGTTAGGAGGATTATTGACCGCTTCCAGGATAGGTATACTCTTGCATCTCTCAGGGTGGCAGTCTGTAGGGAGAAACAGACTAAAGGGGACTGACACAACAAGCCACAAAGCTTCCCCAGGAACCATATTCCAGAACATATCCAGAGAACAGCCCGGAACAGCAGCTTCCTAGTGGAACAAAATTCACCCATCTTAGACTTTAGGGGAATTGATGAAACAAGCTGCAGAATGACTCCGGGAACCACATCCCACTGCCTGTTCTTGGCTGAAAATAGCCCCTGACAGCAATTTTCCAGTAGGATAAACCAACCAAATTTATGCTTTGCAGATGACTAGAAGTGATTGATCCTGCAAGCTACAAAATACAGGAACCACATTCTGGTGCTCATTCTGGGCTGAATGCTCATATTCTGGGAAGAAGCTTAGAACACTCCTTTCTGGGAAGGATTCCAAAGACCACAAAATGTTCAAAATCCTGTATTCCGGAAGACACCCTTGATTACCTTTTCTGAATAGGACAGACCTACCAAATTAGAATATAACTAGCCAGAATTCATCCACAGGAACCACAGCCTGGTTCCTTTCCTGAGCAAAAAAATTGTTTTCTGTATAACATTCCAGAAGAGCAACTTCTGAGGAGGCCAAATGGATCGCATTCAGCAGCCAAGCATGACCAAATGGGAATAGTGCAGCAACTGATGGAATGGCCACACAAACTACATTGTGGTTCCTGTTCCAGACCAAAAATCTATGCTGTACAGATTCTGTTATCAGAATGTGGCTCCACTGAATGTTTTGTAGCTTCTTGAATCACTCCCATCTGTGCGACTGGCAGGTTCAACTGGCTTTTCCTACTCAGACGTTGCCATTCTGCATCATTCTGTTGTGTTGCAGCTAATTTGGGAAGTTTAAAGTGTTAAAGAAAGAGTAATACTTGCTGGGTTGGATTTCTAAAAATTGTTTTAATGTGTCCATCACAGTCTTGGTATCCATTTTTATTAAGTGTGTGTTCTGACTCATTCCATTATGGTTCTGCTTTTACTTAGGCCTTTAAACAGTCCCAACTCCTGAACTAGAAAACACAATAGCACATTTGTGAGTTTCCTGATATACTGCTTCCCTGGAGAACCATAGCATTGTGCAGGAAAAGGCCATTTGTAGCCCTTCAGACATTGCTGGATTGTACACTTCATCCAGTCTTACCACTGATGCTGGTTTGTGCAGTTGGAAGTATCAGTCCAGCAACGCCTGGAGGGTCACAGGTTTCCTATTCCTGACTTATTGGGTCGATATATTTTTAATATATATATATAGATTGGCTCAGCTATTTTTTAAAAAAATATATGTGTGGGATCTATTTCTTAGGATATTGTTTTATTTTTTATGCTGTGTTACGTTGGGTGTAAATTACCCAAAGTACATAGTACCTAGCACTGATTGGTGTGATATCCAAGTCAGACAGACAGACAGACAGACAGATTCATACTACTAGCCCAAAATACATTTTTAAGATGTAATTGCTTTACTAGTAGAGGTCTGCCCATGTTCTTAACAGAGATGTTGACAACTCTTCAGGTCTGAGTCCCAAGTCCATGTCTGAATCTTCAGGCCCAAGGCTTGAGTCTGTATCTTGAGTTCTTTTGCCCTGTCCCCCAGGTGGGCACACGCACATGTGTAGAGACACCCAAGTGACTTCCTTTCCTAGAGCTGGCCCCTGCCTCTGCGCATGCACTGGCCAATCAGCTGGGTGGTGTGTGTGTGTGTGTGTGGCTGGAGATAGCAGCCAGCTCCTGGAAGGGAAACTGGGCCTGCTGCCTCCAAGGATTGTGACAGTGGTAGTGGTTGCAGGGAGGCCCATCTCTAATAGGGACTGGAAACACAACTCAGAAAATGTGTTCGAGTCAGAAGTCAAGCCTGAGTCTGCCCCCAAAACCCCCAGATCAAGTCTGAGACAAGTCACCGGTGCGACAAGTCGGACTTGACGGTGAGTGGTGACTCATGAGTCCCCATTCCTGGTTCTTGATATAAGAAACTTTGGGGTCAGTGTAGACCACAAATGCCGACTCTGTATGGTTCCTATAGGATACTGCGGGTGAGGTCATTTGTAGGTCTGGATTGAAACATCATCAGTAAGCTGATAATAGACAGTTCTGCTTCTGCTTCCCATCTTCTGATCCTGGGAGGCAGTGAAGATCATAAACCAGCATATTTCTTCATAACATTTTCAGCTAGGTCAAGTCAGTATCATGAGAATTTACAAGAGAGAAGACTGCTTGTCATTTTATGAATTGTTAATGATGTTCCCTATATGAATATAAAGATAGTGAACATCATATAAATGATGTTCACTATCTTTACGACAGTGGTGGGGCTCATAAATAAGAACAATGAGTCTGCTTACAGAAAGGAAGTACAAGGGTTGATACTCTGGTGTAAAGAAAATTATCTTACACTTAACATTAAAAAACAAGATAACTCATAATTGATTTTAGGAGGAAGAGAAATGTACATTTACCATTGTACATAAATGGCGAGGAAGTAAAGAGAGTTGGTAGCTTTAAATTCCTGGGCACTTACACGTCAGAGGACCTCTCATGGACGATAAATGCCAACATGCTAGTGAAGAAGGCACAGAAGAGGCTGTATTTCCTGAGAATGCTCGGAAACTTAAATTTCTCTCAGCATTTACTTCTGTCCTACTATCGTAGCACCATTGAGAGTGTCCTAACCTATGGCATCCTTGTATGGTTTGGGAGTAGCTCTGTAGCGGACAAAAAAGCTCTACAGAGAACCATTAAAATTGTTCAGAATATCATTGGGCTACAGCTATCAACCCTGGATGATACCTTCACATCCCTCTATCCAAGGAAGTCACACAACATCTTGAGAGACTCTTCCCATCCTGCTCACAACTTTTTTGAACTGTTGTCATCTGGCAGAAGATATAGAATAATTAAGATTCCGACCAAATGTTTTCTGAATAGTTTTTATCCCAAAGCTTTAATTGCACTTAATAATGAGCTTAAAGACCACCAGTAGTGAATAGTTGGACAGTGTTACTTAGCCTGCAGTGTAGATGTTTGTATTCTTAGTGGGGGATTTTTAGTGGGTGGGGACTGTTTGGGTTTTTTTATGTGTGTGTTTGTGGTTCTGGTCTCCGGGTGTCTGTGTGAATTTCGTTGTATGGGTATACTATGTATATATTTACAATGACAATAAATTTATTTGATGAAGCAGCAGTAATAGTTTTTTTAAAAAAATCAATTTATCCTGGTTTTTACATCTGACATCATACTAAGAGGTGGGTTCTCAGTGTGTTGTGGACAATTTACATTCACCCACCTCCGTCTGCCAACTCTTGGGGCGTTTGACCTGACAGTCAGAATGACTATTGTAGGTGAAAGGGGCAATGAATCCAGACAACACATGTGGTTGGAGTTTCACATAGAGTTCCTTTTCTTTAAAAAAATCCTATCCTTCCACTTGTCATAGTAGGCAAGAAGATGTCCTTGGTTCCTTATGACGAAAAAGCTCTTTGGGGGATGCAGAAGTTCCATCAGTCATCTTCTACGTACCATTTTGCCAACCGCACTATCCAAATCAAGCAGGACTGGAAGCAGCTAGGTGTTGCTGCTGTGGTATGGGATGCGGTGCGTATAGTTTAGCTTTATTTATTTGTGTCAAATTGAAATTGGACCCATGGTCAGCTTGAGACAGCAGGAATATGCAACCGTTGTTGCAACTCACTGAGGAGGTCTGAAGAAACTGTACAGGACGCTTCCGACAAGGGAACTATTTGACCTCGGGTGCGCCCTTAGTTGTAACTAAAGTCAAGTTGACTTTCTTCTCAGCTGAAAAAAGAAGCTGCCACGTTTGTATATAACCCTCTAGAATGAAACATCCTGTTGACAAACATCCTGTAGACGGGGGTGGGCAAACTGCAGACAATAGGAGGACAACCCTTTGAACAACCTGTTAATACCAAGGAGGCCAGATTTTGCTTTTTACTATATATTTGTTCTTCAGTTTGGGTAGTCTGTGGACTGTAGGCTAACTTGAGCCACAGAATATTTGCTGTTGAATTTGCATTTTGGCTGGGGACATTCAGGTTTCTATTATCAGAACAAAAGTCTTCAACAGAACGAACATTGCAACAGCTGTTAAACAGCAACATCCCATATAGGTCAGAGTAGTATTTTGGTTTCTCTATGTCTCATTGCCTGTAACATTTCTGGAAGCTTCTCATATGACCTACATGAGAGATACTACTGTCTAATATTGTCTAAGCCAAGATACAGAGGTGTACTTCTGTATCCAGTGTTGTATGATTAGCAGATTTGAAACTATCTTCCTCTCTCTGCTGCAGCTGATTCAGAGAGTTTCCTGGCTCTCCTGAGCAGGTTTTTATGGTGTCTGCAAGGCTACAGTAGCAGCTATTCTTGGTTCTGGTGGAAGAAGTGGGATCCAGTTGAAGATGATGTTAAATCCTACCAGAAATCAGTATTATTTTTCATTAGATTATTTTTTTTTCTCCTGGACCAGGCTGTGGTGCTGTGCACATTCTTGGAGACAGGAGGTATTGATCTACAAGGGCGCTCAGTAATTGAGTTAGGTGCTGGAACAGGCTTGCTCGGAATTGTAGCTGTGCTGCTTGGTAAGTTTGTTGTTGTTGTTGTTGTTTGTTGTTGTTTGTTGTTGCTTGTTGTTGTTGTTGTTGTTGTTGTTGTAGGGGAAATGGAACTAAAGTAGCCAGTGACATTCATTTCACTATTTGACATTGATTATGAATAGCATTACTTACCCTGCAGGCATTTACAGTTTTTGTTATTATTGTGAGAGTTGTTGGCGGGCAGAAAGGCTATAGTAGTTGCACCTACTTTCTGATTATTCCCAACTCTTTTTCTGTGATGCTTATCAAGTCTTATCAGTGTTTCAGTAAAGGTGGTCTAAAAAAACCAAGTGAACTGTTTATTTCAGCTTTTAATTAACGCTACAAGGCCACTCTGGGCAGTTTACAATAAAAAAATTAAGACGCAAAATAAAGACATACATCAAATTGCAACTATCAATAGTGGATATAAGCTCAAAATTAAACAAAATCAAACAGAAATAAAAAATTGAAATAAAAAAATAGAACATACAGCATGAAATCAAATCAACAGAGACACAAATGATTAAGAGGTAAGATGGTGGAACAGAAATAAACACTGGAGGGTGCAACGTGCTATTCAGATGTCAATTTTGGAAAAGCCTGCCTAAAAAGCCATGTCTTCAAAAATAGTTTAAAAATTTCCAGTGAAGGGGCCAGACAGATATCAGGCAGGAGATTCTTCCAGAGGTGAGGGGCGACCGCCGAGAAGGCTTAGTAGTTTTATAAAGAGCTCAAAAAAGCTGCTTTGGGGCCATGGTGGCTGGGGATTTTGGAACTTGTAGTTCAAAAATTAACTTTTCCACACTCTGGATTTATTCATTTTTTCATTCTTTTCAACTTGTATGCTTCTCATCTAGCCAATTGCTACTCTGGGCAGTGTACAGAAAAAAAAATCTAAATTATATAATTGCTATAAACACTAGGGACTAAGGGACGCGGTGGCGCTGCGGGCTAAACCCATGCTCTGGATTTATTGATTTTTTCATTCTTTTCAACTTGTATGCTGCCCATCTAGCCAATTGCTACTCTGGGCAGCGTACAGAAAAAAAATATAAATTATATATTTGCTATAAACACTAGACAGTACCACAAATTGGGGGGGGGGGAGAGGAGGAGAAAAACAGGGATCAAGAAACATTGAAAATCATAAACTATAATATTCTCCTCCTCCTTTATCCATTATTCTGGCTACTCCCCCAAAACTTATCTGAACAGCTCAGTTTTTAAGAACTTTTCCAACATGCAAAGGGAGGGCACCTGCCATACCTCCCTGTGGAAGAGCGTTCCACAAAGAAAGCACAACTGCTGATGGCCCAGTTGGCATTTTCAGGACTTCTCAAGGTGTTCATACACACAGACATGAGGTCTGTGAGAACTGAGTCTAATGGGCAACCAAAGTTGGCAGAAGATGGTTCAGACGAGTGTTAAATATGGGGAGCAGCTGAGAAAATCTGGATGGTCTTCTTGCTGGTTTTTTTTAATGTAAAAACCAGGGCATGCAAGAAGGTAGTGCACCCTTTGACTGATCTTTGAATAACCCAATCCCTTGCAACTGTGTACTTTTACTCACTGTATATTCTTTTTCAGAATAGATGCTTATAGTAACTGCTGTTTTTGATAGAGCAGTAGCATAATTCTCATGGATGTATTACACGTACAACTTTCTTGCTATGTTCCATGCTAAGATTCTATCAAAATTTAAATGGGATAAATTAATATAGTTAATATTAACAAGAAAATATGAAGAAGAAGAAAAAAGAAGCCCAGCTTTTCTTTGGTATTAGAATACAGTGCTATGGGCAGCTGAATGCAAATTATTATAAGCAATGCTTTTTTATAATGTTTATTCCAAATTTTAGTTTTCCCTGAAACTGGTTTTGTAAATTTGGAGGAATAAGCCTCTGTTACAAAAAAAAATGTGTGGCAGAAACTGATAAATCATTTTTATACGCATAATTATTACAGTATTTTCTTTTTCTTTTTAAAAAACTTTATTGGCCTGTTAGGTGCTCATGTTACAATTACAGACAGAAAAGCAGCCTTGACGCTCCTTGAATTGAATGTGCAAGCTAATCTGCCTGATGACCTTCAGCTAAGAGCCATGGTCAAGGAACTGACTTGGGGACAAGATTTAGTGAGCTTCTCTCCAGGAGGATATGATTTCATTTTGGGTGCCGACATTGTTTATCTGGAAGAAACGTTTACAGATCTTCTTCAAACCCTGGACTATCTTTGCTCTGAGCAGACCGTGATTCTCTTATCTTGCCGCCTCCGCTATGAACGGGACCAGAAGTTCCTCATGATGATGAAAGGACTTTTTTCAGTTCAAGAAGTGTTCTATAACCCTGATAATGATGTGCATATATTCAAAGCACAGAGGAAAGTCCTGAAGAGAGATCTGTGATTTGTTATTGTGCGTTCTTATGTCCTCCCAGACAGAACTTAGAAATGTTAATTTGGGGGGGGGGGGTTGCAGTTTCCAGAATCTCCCAGCCAGTATAGTTTTGGACAAAGCTGGGGGAGTCTAAGAGTTGTAATCCAAAAAGTTTTTTTTTTCCCCAAACTCTACCTCCCATCCCTGTACACCTGAACCAAAGATTTTCACTTAAGCATTCTTCCCAAACCCCTTTGCTGATTTGTATCATTCTCATGGTGCCGATTCAGACCAACAAAAAGGCCCAATTAATGATCCGGGGTGAAAATGTAGCGAAGCCTTCAAGTTGGGAACTCTAGAAACCTTTGGCGGTAAATATGGGAACAATCAAAGTAGCTTCAGAACAGGGACATTTAACTTCTGTTTTATCACTGATAAAGAATATGGCTGGAAGGATAAATTTGGTGATGTCTTCAAACGGAGGGGGGAGGGAAAGGCAATTATTGATTTCATTCCATTTAAAGTGGTTGCACAGGAATAGGATTGGCCAAATCTGGCCATCCAGATGTTGTTGGACTACAGTTCCCATCAGCTTAACCAGTATAGCCAAAGTTTGATTTCCCACTGTGCCTCCTAGGAGTCTTGGGCAAACTACGTGGTCCCAGAGTGCCCAGGAAGAAGGGGCTAGTGAACTGCATCTGAGAACGTTATGCCTAGGAAACCCTGAGAAGAGTTGCCACAAGTCAGAATAAACTTAACTGCATCCAGGTGTTTCTTTTATTTCTTTTTTTCTTCTTCTCAGAGCCACAGTGGTGTCATGGAGAGATTGATAGAGTAGGACTTGGAAGACCTGACGTCAAGTCCCTGCTTGGCCATGGAAATTCACTGGGGGAGGGGGCAACGCTGGTAAAAGCACTCCTTAAATATCTCACATCTCTTGAAAACCTTATTAGGGCCACCGTACATTGGATGCAACGGAACAACATAGAACAAAAGTTATAGATTGGGTGAGGCAAAATTGAAATACAAAAACTGCACATATGGGTCATTATAACTACTGTATGGTCATTAGCAATAGTTGAATGTGATATCCATTCTACGACTCAACTCTCTCTGTGTGTGTGTGTGTGTGTCCACTCAACTCTCTCAATCTCTCTCTCTCTGTGTGTATGTGTGTGTGTGTCTGCACGCACGTGCTATAAGAAGCCCCTGTACATGAGGAATGTCATTGTTTATATCAGCAGTACACATAGGGAGCAATCTTAGGGAGAAGAAATTTGCCCTCCTTGCATTTCTCCACAACAACCCTGAAAGGGAACTCTGTCCTTGTGGAAATGGCTATCCTAAAGCCCATCAACCATAAGAACACAAGAAGAGCCCTCTGCTGGATCAGACCAAGGGCCCATCTAGTCCAGCTTCCTGTATCTCACAGGGGCCCCACCAGATGCCTCTGGAAGCACATAAGACAACTAGATGCCTGTCTCCTGATCCCCCTCCCCTGCATCTGGCATTTTAATATACCTTCCTTTTAAGCCTGGAGATTATACATCCCCATCATGGCTTGTAACCTGCGATGGGCTTTCCCTCCAGGAATCTGTCCAATTCCCCTTTTAAAGGCATCTAGGCCAGACGCCATCACCACATACTGTGGCAAGGAGTTCCACAGGCTAACAACGTGCTGGTTAAAGAAATATTCTCTTTTGTCTGTTCTCACTCTCCCAACACCCCATTGGAGTGGATGTCCCCTGGTTGCGTGACAGGTAAAAGAGCTTCCCTCTATCCACTTTATCCATCCCCTGCATAATTTTATATGTCTCACTTATTGTCCCCCCCCCTCCGGTGCCTTTTGTCTAGACTAAAGAGCCCCAAACACTATAGCCTTTCCTCATAAGGTGCCCCAGCCCAGTCAACATTTTAGTCACTCTCTTCTGCACCTTTTCCAGTTCCATTATGTCTTTTTTGAGGTGCAGTGACCAGAGCTATACGCAGTACTCCAGGTGCACCTTTACCAGCGTTTTGTATAATGCCATTATAATGCTGACTTTTATTTTCAGTCCCCTTTTTAATGATACCTAGCATGGAACTGGCCTTCTTCACTGCTGCCGCACACTGGGTTGACCTTTTCATTAAGCTGCCCACTATCTTTCCGGATCCTTCATGGACAGCTCAGAGCCCATTAGCTGATTACTAAAGTGTTAATTTTTTTTGTCCCGATGTGCTTTACTTTACATTTTCTTACATTGAAATGCATTTGCCATTTTGCCACCCATTCTCCCAGTTTGGAGAGATCCTTCTGGAGTTCTTCACAATCCCTTCTGGTCTGCACCACCTGGAAAAGTTTTGTGTCAGGATACATTAGGGATTTTAACTTGGATCTCTGTCTTTCAAGTCCAGCACTTGCAACCACTGCTTCATTGGCTCTCTCAGATTAGTATTTATTGTGTAAATAGTACCAAAGCTATAACACAGTGGTAGAAAACCAATTAATGTGCTTAATTTGCATGGTATATTACATCCACATTTGTATATGTAAATTTTGCATAAAGTGCAAATTAAAGCACCCTGATTTGGGATTCTGGAATATGGCAGTCCTAAACGAGCAGGATTTATTTATTTATTTATTTATTTATTTATTTATTTATTTTATATGCCGCCCACACTACCCGAAGGTCTCTAGGCGGCTTACAGCATTTAACAACTAAGTGTGAGAAGGGAAGTGAGGGAAAGAAGCCCCTTGCTGGAGTGCCATCCCTTCCACCAACTACAGAAAGGGAGGTGCAGACCTCGCCCACTCCATCCCCTGTCAAGAAATAACATAGGGGTACCTATACCTGGGATCTAGAAGTAACGGTAGCCCAAACGGAGGAACATTTGGCAGGAAAGGGTAGGAAAAAGAGGGTGGAGATTGAGGCGGGGATGGCAGAGATGAAAAAGGAGGAGAAGGGAGGTTTTAGAATTTAAAAAATGATAAGTTCTTTATTCTAACGTATCAACTGGTAAACAGCGTGCAACACAAATTCTTAAGTTACAGCCCACTGCTAAAATATAACCTCCCTCTCCAGACACAAAGTAACTTCTCTTTCCTTCTCTCCAGCTTTTCTGGAGAGGCCCATCCTATACATCCCACCAGCCAATACAGGTGAAATTGGCTTGGGTTCTGTTGCATTCCTCCTCCCTTTACTACATTGCTCTATTTGAGAGCCTCTAAATGGTTATTCAGAAAGAGCAATGAACCCTGGAGCATATATACATACAGTTCACAGCTAGTACATATTTCATACATCTTTAACATTTATTTTGTATCCCATCTATAAACAGAATTCTCAAAGTACAGTGGTGCCTCGACTTATGAACTTAATTGGTTCCGGAACTCCAGTCGTAACTGAAATGGTCATAAGTCGAAGCATCATTTCCCATAGGAATGCATTGAAATGCAATTAATCTGTTCTGGCCAAAGGGGGGGGGGATATCACCAAAAAATCCACATACACACAAACCCACTGGAAGACCCATTGGAAATGCAATTAATCCATTCTGGCTGAAGGAAAAAAAAGAAAAGCAAAGAAACCAGAAACCATGCAAGCCCCTTTGGAAATGCAAAAAAAGCAAAGCAAAAAACAAACAAACCGTGAAAGTCCCTTCGGAAATGGGGGAAAAACCCAAAAAGCAAACAAACCCCCAAGAGCCATCGGAAATGGAGGGGAAAAAAACCAAAAAGCAAACAAACCCTACAAGACCCATCGGAAATGGGAAAAGAAACCCAAAAAGCAAACAACCCCCAAGACCCATTGGATATGGGGAAAAAAACCAAAAAGCAAACAAACCTCACAAAACCCATCAGAAATTGGGGGGAAAAACCGAAAAAGCAAACAAACCTTCCAAGACCCATCAGAAATTGGGGGGGACCCAAAAAGCAAACAAACCCTGCAAGACCCATTGGAAATGGGAAAAAAACCCAAAAAGCAAAAAAACCTCGCAAGACCCATTGGAAATGGGGGGAAAAACCCAAAAAGCAAACAACCCCCAAGACCCATTGGAAATGGGGGGGAAAACCCCAAAAGCAGTCAAATCCCACAAGACCCATCAGAAATGGGGGGGACCCAAAAAACAAACAAACTCCGCAAGACTCATCACAGCATAGAGACATAATCCCATCACCCGGATCAAAACCATGCTGTAAACCCCACCCAGAAGCAGAAAGCAGCAACTTACCAGGCAGTCTGAAGCCTCCTCTGATTGCACACTCTCTAACCATTGAGGCGAAAGAGCTACAAAGAAGCAGCCTCATCACCACCAATGGTTAGCAATTTGAATTCCCCGCCTTTTCCCCCTGCCTTTTTCTGTTGGTAACTGGAAACTCCAGCCGCAAATCGAAGCAAAATTTTGCTGTCGGAGCTGGCCGTAACTCGAAATGGTCGTATGACGGGACGTTCGTAAGTCGAGGCACCACTGTACATTCTTCCTCTAACAAATCACCATATAAATAATATATTATCTTTAGTTAACTTTACTACCTGTGTTTCTATAGTTAACATTATCGGTCACACTTTTCACTATATTTTTCAATTGTACATTTTTACCTTTAATAAAATCAGTATATCTTGATATGACATATTCACATGCATACTTAAACAGTAACTTAGTATTTTTAATTATACTATTGTGTATTGCCATTAATCATTACTAAATTATTTCCCACACAAAACAATATTCTGTACAATGTCCATCTCTTCTGAAGAATCCTTCGTCCCCACGACCTCATTGAAATCCTTTCTCCAATCCGCAACCAAACATTAGGTCAAGGAAATCTGGATCTTGTTATATAAACATTTTTTAAAATCTCTCCAGGCTTGTTTATGTGTAAATTATGACTCATCCAGGCAGGACAGGTATTCACGATTCCAAACTCCTCGCTCTATAGAATGACATGAATTTCTCAACTCCTCTGATTTTGCATTCTCTGGCACTGCTTCATGGAATCTCGCCAATAATCTTTTTGTAATTGGGAGATTTTTCTCAAATGCCAATGGAAGTTTTTTTAAATTCTTTGTCAGAGTGTTTCCAAAAGTTGAACTCTATTTGGATTTCTAAGCAAGTTGTTGGAAATATTGGCAAGAAGCTGGTGAAAGTTGCAGTCTGTCTGAGGAGTACCTGGTGGGTGATGACAGATAAAGATGTTACCAATGCGGCAATAGGGTCTTTCATGGGTTTGTGAAGAGAAGCCCATGTGTTTAGCTGTATTTCTTTTCTTGCAGAGGTTGCCCCTATTGTCATCAGTCTTGTTCCTGAAGAGGCCCACACCATCAAATGGCAAGTCCTTAATGTGTGCCCTGGAATAATCTGAAACACCCACAGATTTGAGCCAGCCAGTCTGAGCGCCCCTGCCATATTCTTAGCTGCACAGGCAGTGGTGTGACATGCAGCATGTCTCTCTTGGGTCACTAGGACTTTACCTCTTGCTGGAAAGTTAGTGCTAGTACACTCTTGTTTTTTCATCACTCCATTAAATAGGGGTTGAATCTTGTCTCATAGGAACCTATGGCACACCCTCATCCCTGCTTGGCAGTAGGGTGGAATTTGGATCACCAACTACCAGGCTGGATGTGAAGAACTTTGTGTGTTTTTCCAGTGTTATGTCTACACTTAGTAGTTGGAGAATTAGACACCCCTGGAAGGCAGCCTTCGCTTGGAACTGATGGTAGGTTTAGAGTTTTTGGATTCTGAGACTACTTAGGAGGCTGAGAAGTGAAGTATTATCAGTTTCTTT